GTAAATTGGCATTTTGACCAAGAAGACCCAAAAGATCACGGCTTGCATCTTCTGTTATTTATATATAATATACAAAACTTAAATTATCAAATAATTAAATAGAATGAATGATTTACTTTGATGAGCGTTACCAAGAGCACCGATTAATTGATCAACAACGATTTGTCCAGCTTGCCCTGTTGTGTTAAGAATAGCACCGAGTGTTTGATTAATCAAAAGTGGAATTTGATGAATCTATAAAGTAAAACTTATAAGATTTTTATGTCGTTAAGAACAGTAACCTACATCGTTTGATAAAAGTTGAACATTGTTAAGTAAGTTTACAATTGATAAAACTGTTCCCAAGTTAGTACCATGTGTAGCTGTAGACAATGTTTGTAAAATATTGGAACCAGAAAGAAGTGAACCAAGTGAGCCTAATGGATTGCTTCGACTATCGACAGCTATTAAAGATGAACGACCTTATATTAATTATTTCATATATTAGATATCTACGTACCATGTGTTTTACAAGCTTTAACATGTGGACAACATTCACCAGCTGGTATGGGAGCCATTGATCCGTCAGGACAACGTTTAATAGACATGGTACACATAGCAAAAGCACAGTTTGTGATAGCTGTAGGGAAAAGTTCTAGTACAAAACAAAAATCTGTATATTAACATACGTTTAACTGGAGCCTCAATAGCTTTGCAAGCACTCGTTGATGGACAACATCCATCAGCTGGAACTGGAGCTGGTGTGCCATCTGGACATACTTGAAAGCTCATTATACAGAATGCAAAAGAGCAGTCGGGTTTGCTTGCTGTTCAAAAAATAAGATAATAATAAGAAATAAAAACAATTATATTTTAGATTATCAACATACGTAAAATTGCACCACAGGCAATACCAACGGTAAGAAGTAAAGAGAGAAACACTTTCATTTTGCGAATTAGTCTAAATTATTGCTACATATTGAAAAATATTTTTGTGTAAAATATTATCTTACCTTTGACAAAATTCAGATTAGGGAGTAAATAGTTTAAGAAGCAGTTTAATGTATATATATGGCTGTCCTCCCTTTACAATGTTATACGTAGGCTTTATCTCCAGATGACTTGATTCTCAGATCGATCTTACCCCCCTGTTATTGGTCTTTCAAGTTTGCTCTTCTAGATTAATCACATATACACGCGATCTCATAACACCTACGTAGTATTCTAATCTATCCTTCGTGAATATCTATTCAAAATACTATTTGAATTATACGATGGATTATTTTTATACGTAAATGAAACATAATAAAATTATAATTTTATACTCATTTATCAATAATCTTTTAAATAAACTGATACGCATCAATTCAATATAATTTGATTATTATCAATATAAAAGATTTTTCATAAAAATCAGTATTTTTTTTTTGAATAACCAAATGCGTATTTTCTCAGCATTGAAGATTATTTTGTAAAACGATTTTTAATTTGAGAGATATAAATTGTATTATTGTATTTTCCATACTACTAGCCGATATATAGCGACATCAGTTAACAAACTCCTTTCGTCCGTCGGCAAATATATCTGATTAACCAATGTCAAAAAACCAAGGTCGACTAGGTGCATTTTTCTCCCTAAACTTTACTTAAAAAAGAACAAGTAAAACAAGTATAAGATACAAAGAATAAAATCTGGATATATTCATCCATTTTAATTTCACATGAAATCTTTTTTTCTTTTATATTTGATGTGAAATAGAGGCTGAAAATCCTTTATTTATCTTTCATTGATTTCGAAATTTGTTTTTATTATTATCTAATTCATATTCTAGATTTTAAAGCTTTTGATTTCAGTTAATAATGGCTGATCATTGGCAAGATGTTAATATACCAAAACCTCAAATTGTTGATGATGACGATGCTCCTGATGATTGGGAAACTGCATTAGAAGAAAAAGTTTGTCTCATCTGATTTATTCTTTTCTTTAAAATTGTATTTTTTTATCTATAGGCTAAAATATCAGATGTTGAAGAAAAACCAAAAGCAGCTAAGAGTACGTCAAGTAAAAAGAAAGTTAATGCTGGTGACGAATCTCAGAAAATTATTAAACAACCCGATGGAGATTATACACCAGAAGAACTTGATCAAATAAGGGCAAAGGAAGAAATAAAAGAAGAACAAGAAAAATTAACTGAGGTAGAAGAATTAGTTGATGAAAATGGCAAAGTTCGATCGTTGGATGATCTTGATTTAATTAAAAAAAGTGAATTTCTCAATTACAGTCTTCGTTTAGCTAGTCGTCTTGAAGTTGTATCAAATTCTGAATTTTATACGGATTTTATTGATAATTTTCTTACTGGTATAACAAATTCAATGTCAGTTGATGGTGTTAAACGTTTAACAACAACATTACAAACAATAAATATACGAAAACAAGGTGAAGAACGTGAGAGAAAGGCAAAAGCAAAAGCTAAAAACAAAGCTAAACCACAATTGAAAGCTATTAAACAATCCGACTATAAAGGTTTTGGTGCTGATGTCGGTCACGATTATGATCAAGACAATGATTATGATGATGAGGATTTTATGTAAACTGTTTCTTTTTTGTTCGCATTGTTATAAGAAAATAAATTCTATTGATTAAAACAAAAGATTGATGTCTATATATATATATATATTGAAACAGCAAGAAAAGAAATATAACATTGTCGTCAACAATCTATATACTTGCTCTATTATAATGTGACGCTGCGTCATTATTGAGGCACATTAGATAAAAAAGGAAAATGGCGACTAAAACGATAACGATTATTGATAAATATATATGTATATATAATTTATTCCATTTTATTATAATCTCAGAAATTGAAAGATTTTATTGTTTATTAAAATTCCGCTTAAAAAAAACTTGTACATAAGACATTTCATATTTTAATTAAGTATATATATGTACATACGCATATAAATTAGAATCATTCATTGGCGGATGTGCGTATTTTCGTACATTGCGGAATGATGATTTTTTATATTGTTATATACTCATTTTTTCGTTTGTTTTAACTCATAGGGGGTACTTAGACAGGTGCGCGCTCAAGTGTTTGATAGGATCATCATATGAGATAATTTATCATATTTATTAAAAATTTAGAAAAAAAAAATTTATTATTGAATGTTTCAAAACAATTTCTTTTTTTTTCTTCTTGTTTTTTTCTTCTTTTCGCATACACATCGATCGGATGAGATGAGGTCGACGGCAGATGTCGTATTCCAATCTGGAATAAAACAAAATAAGATTATATATACTCTTAGTTAGAAACTAATAATCCTCAAATCGTCTATATACATATTTGCTTATTTATTTCCATAGATTATATTTTTCCAATGAAAAATAATCAATTATATTTTTATCGTCATGAAGTTTTCTTCATCTTCAATCATTAATAAAGATGATCACAATGAACAATTAAAAAATCAACAAGATAAATTCCTATTTAATCATTTTCTATTTTTTAATGAAAAAAAATTAATATCACTTGAAAATTGTCATTGTTCATTAAACGATGTAAGTTATTAACATGTTTTTATATCTAAACGCTTATTTTGTTTTTTCTCTTTGTCTGTCTGTCTGTCTTAGTCGCTGATTGAAGAAGATAAAGATAATCGAAATAAAACATTCTCATATGAATGTAATCAATGTTTAAAAATTTATGCTAGTGAATACGGATATAATTATCATATAAATATGTATCATTCAAATCAATCAATACTTTGTTCCGATTGTAATATTACATTTCGTTCCCATCGTGCACTTAAAACTCATCAACAACGTTTTCATTTAAATTATTCACAAAATCTACCAAATTATAATTATATATCATCATATTTAATTGTTGCATTTTCAACAAAACAATTTTCATTAATTACAAAAAATGCTTGTGAACAAGGACGTTTACCATTAGGTGAATTATCATCGAAATTATATCCATGTGATATATGCCATATATCATTTTCATGTTCAAATGCATTAAAATATCATTTATTAAATAAACATGAACAATATGAATATAAAATTTGTAAAAATATTCTCTATGATATTGTTATACAAATTGAATATGATTTAAAAACAGTAGATAATAATGATGATGATGATATTGAATCTATGAAATATTTATTATCTAAACAAGCATCAAATTTTGGACTTGTTGATAAACAATTAGCAAGAGAAATTCGTTGTATAAAACACGAACATAATCATTTAATATATCCTAAATGTCAACATCAAAATCGAACATGTGCAAATTTATGTTTAGAATATCTTTCTTCCTATAATAAACTTATTGATAATTATTCATATAAAATAACAACAATACCAAAAACAAATCCATTTATTCATGGTTCAATTGTATCGAAACCTTTAAATGGATCATTAATTAATACTTCGATAGCAACAAAAGATGAAGTAAATTCCAATCAAAAACGTACATCTTTAAAACGAGTTAAATCATCGATTTCGGATTTTTCATTATCACCACAAACTAAAAGAAAATTTAAAGTAAATGAAATAAAATCTTCACCTATTCTACAATCCTCAACCTCACCAAAAAAAATCAGTCATAGTTATAGTAAGTTGTATTAAATTCAAAGATTATGAATTAATATAATTTTATTTTAGCACGTTCATTATCTTCTATGTCAAGTAATTCAGTTACATCGACTCGTACATCATCAAAAACATCTCGACATCAAACAATTACATCTTTAAAACGTAGTCTATCACCAGAAATTACACTTGCAGTTGAACGTTCATCAGAAAAACGTCGTCGACAACGTGAACAACGTAAAGCAAAAGCTGTATTATCATCCTCATCATCATCGGATATTGTTCTTAAAATTGATGATGATGATATAGAACAAGAAAATGGTGATGATGATGATGATACGGATGATATTATATCTATAAAATGTAAAAAACCGAAAAAAACACGACAAGCATCAAATAGTTCCGTTGAATATGTACAAATAATAAATAATGATCAACAATCAATAGCATCATTGAATAATATTGAAAATATAAAATTAAAATCAAATGAGAAAGACATTATTCTATGTCAATCACCACCAACTGTAAAAAAAGTTATTTCATCTTCTGATAAAAATCTTTCCAAAACATCAGTAAATAATCAACATGTAAGTCTACGAAAGATATATATAAGTTGTAAATTTTTTTTGGTTCGTTTTAGGTACCTGATTATGATGAACATATTCGAGTTCGATGTAAAATTTGTGATGATATACTTGAAGGAAGAAGTCGTTTTTCGAAACATGTATTAACAATGCATTCTCATCTTTTAAAAAATAAGATGCCTGATATAAAACAGCAACAGACTACAATTGTTCGATGAAAAAAAAATGTATTAAGACTTTAGTTTGGTATAGATTAGCTTGTATGTTTCTTTGTGAAAAAAATAAACAGCTTTTCACTAAAGTTAATTGTCATTTGACGAAAATGAACGAAAGTTTCACAACTAAACAGAAGAATGTTTAAATTGTTTCTTTTCTCTTGTATTTGCTCGATTTTGTTTGTATTTTTTGGTGCGTATGCTAATAAAAAAAAAAGTTTAAATAAATAACTCTTTTGATTTACAACAAGTTTAGAATTGAAAACATAAAAAATGATAATAATAGCAATTAGAATACGTTAATTATGATGTTTAGTTGTAGAAAGCAAAGAAAGTAATTATTCGCCATTGTTTACTGATTCAACTCATATTTTCTGGGCGTTTCTTCACTTGTAACAAAATAAAGTTATTTTTACCGATTATTGAGTTATAGCTCAAGCTTTACTCAATATCTTGCTAGAATGTATCATTTTCCGGATGGGCAACATTCATCCAGGGCTAGACATGGCTCAAACTCAAACTCACATTCAAACCGTTTGGGAGTTTGGGTTTGGGTCATGTCTATCCAGGGCCCACCCGGACTATCTCAAAATATACAGCTGCTGTATTTTTTCGAGTGGGCGGTGCCCACCCACTGGATAAAATACTGCTTTCGGTCTATTCTAGTATTCATAGCTCCATTAACTATACTCGAACATAGATATAATAATAATAACCATAAGCAATTTTTTGTTCAGGTAGTTTATATTGCTTCCAGTTTTATTTATTAAAATATTTTTGTGGAGTTTCTAATATAAAAAAATAAATGCGTTAGTAAAAAGTCTTTAACATGTATTTGACTTCGTTGAATCTTTAACGAATTGTTCGATGAATGGTAGTATTTGTTTACGAGATGCTTTAATATTTTTCTGATCGAATAATTTAATATTTGCATGGTTTAATGGTATAGCACGTTCATGTAAATCGAGATTAATTTTATTACTTTGAATATATTCATATATCGGTTGTATGTATTCATATTTTTTAATATAAAAACCTAATTGACGTTTTGTTTCGTCATTTTTTACTTCTACTGAAGTCATAATTACACCATCAGCATTATCGTTTTTTGATAAAAATTCATTTAAATCATTTAAATTTTTTGATTCATTAATTAATTTCTAATAAATACAAATATTTAAAATGAAAACTAAAAATACATTGTATAACTTTACTTCAACTGTGTAATCCATAGGTAGACTAGACATTATAAGTCGAAGATTTGATCCAATAATTGGTTTCACATCTTTTTGTAATAAATCTTGAATTGATAAGCCTATAGAATAAATATTTAAATGATTTTTATTTCTGTACAAAACCGTATTACCTGTTATATCACATGAACTTTTTCTTAAATCTTCATATAATTTTGAATCATCGATTGGTGAATGACGATAAGTTTGAAGTTGGGCATAAATTTGTTCATCTTTTTCTGTAGTTTTCCCAGCGCTTGATGAGAAATTGACTGTATCAAATATAATTGGTCCTTCAAAGAAATTTATACGAAAATCTATTTATGTCTATTGAATATTTTCTTTACCAGTTAATAGATATGCAATTTCATCAGTCATTTTAAAATTTGATGCAAGAATTTTTTCAGCAACCAATGTACAACATGAACCAACAAGTTCGATTTTAATTGCTGATGAACTAGATGAATAATAAATATTTGTTGTTGGATAAAAAAAGAAAGTTTTTTTCTATACTCTTTTAATAAAATTGAATCTTTTTTAATTTGATGATGATCAATGATTTCGACAACAGCTTCATTCAGTTTCGAATGTAAATAATGATGATCAACAAGAATTATTTCAAGTTTCTTTTGATCATATAATTCATTTAGATTAATATCATCAATAAAAATAACATTTGAAAAATTATCTTTAAGAAACCAACGAATTTCATGACGTAAACCAAATGTATTTTGATTTGTATTCATTATAGGTAGATGAAGAATTTCATTTGGATTTGAACAAATCTATTCATGTGAAAAATCGAAATATCAAAGTACAAAAAAAGGCGACTTCGGTTTTATTTAACATACAGTATGAAGAAAATAGGCATAAACGCAAGCACTTATCGTTGAGTCCAAATCACACGATTCATTACCCATAACGATGCATATTGAACGAAATTGATTCAAATTAGCCTTTTATTCAAAAAAAATAAGAATATTTACATATACATAAGTATTATCGATGAATGTAAAACGATTAGATAGAGTACTAGGACAATGGTTCATTCTTCTTTATACTCATCGTTGATTCTATTATTATTTCATATTCTTCATCTGGTATCTCTATTGAATAATAATAAAACTGATAATTCATACAAAGTCTATCAAGATTCATTAGTACATCGCAGTAAAAAAGTGTTAATTATTATTTCGCGTGCATATTCCTACCATTTGCGATTTGGCATATACTAAATAATCACTGAAATTCATGGTTTCCTTATACAATCTAAAACTTAAATTAAACCCATATATCATCTGATTATATTTTTCTTCCAAAGTTTGTTTTAATGTCGGAATTATATATTATGGATTAACATGTAGTATTATTTACATGCAAGAAATTATAGTAATAAAAAAAATAAATTGAAAGTTATTTCGTTTTAATAGAAAAAAATAATGCATATGTCGTAAGATTGATAATTACATAAAAAGCAAAAACGATTCATTCTCGATAACTTCGAGTCATTGATGTTCTATCATGACCAGGAGTTTTATAATCATCTGGTAATGATAATATAGATTCAGTAAGCATCTTTTTAACATTATCATATTTAGGTTTTTCAGCAAGTAGAAAACCACTATCACTATTTATATCTACACGACATAGAGGACATGTTTGAGATGATGTTGGCGAAGTTTGAGAAGACCTGAATATAATAAACTATTTGTTAAGAAAATAAAATAAAATAAATGAACAAACCATTGCTGAAAACATTCATCACAAAATTTATGTGTACAAGGCAAAACTAGATTTGGTTGACGATCCATACAAATACAACATTCATTATCATTAGGTACAGTAAATGATCTAGAACAAATAAGATAAATATTTTTTTTTAGCTTATCCATTTTTTTACTCACAATTTCGCAGTTGAAAAAGAGGATGAATTTTCTTTTGTTGTTGTTGCTGATGAATTAAATAATGATGATGATGGACATTTTTGTAATGTTGATATTTGTTGACATAATGATTGATGTACAGATAAAAATTGGTGTAAATTTAAAATAATTTCATTGGATATACTTTGATCACCTCTTGTCATCTATGTAGAAATAGGAGAAAATTATAATGAAATAAAAGAACAGTTGATTTATTTTACTTTTGAACATCGAATACGAATTAATGCTTTCCAAAATATATTCGAATCAGTTTGTGGTACAATATTAAATTGTAAATAACATGGTTCATCTCTTGTAAACATTTCTAATGTTTTATTAAATTCATTTAATAATTGAAGAAATTCTTTATGTCGAAGTAAAATAATTTGTTTTATTTTAAGCATTGTCGGAACTAATTCCAAACCATCTGATGATGCTCCTCGATCCATTCGATTTCTATTATTCACTTCATTTTCATCACTAGAATCTTCCATATGTTGTTGAGACATGATTATCTTTTTTTTTGTTTCGATTGTCAATAAAATTGAAGCAGATGCATTCAGTCTTATATATAATGACTCATTTAGTACCTTATCTCTATATTCACAAATGACAACAGATTTGACCAATGAAAAATGTTGATATTAAAAAACTTTTTTTATGGAATATTATAAATATTCGATTTATTAATCAAGTTAAAAATAACGATTGAAATATACTTTCATTTATCTTTTATGAATTAATTAAATGATTTCTTATTCAGTTAAAGCAGAATTATAGAGGTTAGTTATCACATATTTTCAAAATGGCTATGAGAAAACATACGTATATAGTCATATATTTCTTTGTTTTTGAAACATTTTTCAACACCAACATATATTTTTATTCATGAATTAATTTTCTTCTTCTTCTCTTCTGGTATCATCATTTTAAATTCTTAGTGTTTGGCAGTTCGTTCGTTTTTTGACAAAAAAAATTATCATTCCCAGCCCTTCTCATTGTAATATGTGTATGTTGTTCGACAAGTATGAAATTTAAGAAAAATATTAGGAAACTACTAAAAAAAAACAGCAAGAATATGAATAGCATGCACGTGCACAATTCGCTGATTCGTTCGACAACGGATATTGCGAATATGTGTTCACGAGGTTTGACCTTTTATTTGCGGCCAAACAATATATACAGTCGAGCTGCTTTACTTACACCTTCTGTGATCTTATTCGATTGCACTGTTTAAATTATACCAAAAAAAACTGTTATATTAATTCTTAATATCCAGTTCAAAAGAATTTAAACACAACAGCGAAATGTATCGAACCAAAAAAAAATGAAGTTTTTAGATTAACGCCATTCCATCATCGTTTATTCATAATAATGGCCGATTCGGATAAACTTGGTCTTGGTCTTGACGACATCATTCGTCATGATCGTACTTCAACAAATCGACGAGGTGGCGGCGGCGGTGGTGGCAAACGAGGATTTCGTGGACGCGGTGCCGGTGGTGGTGCTGGTCGACAAGGTGGTCAAATGAATGGATTTCGTACTCGTGGTGGTGGTGGACTGGTAAATATTTTTATTTTATTTATTGATATAAATATATATATGTGTATGTATATATTTAGCCTCGACCATCCGCTACACCAGCAGGTCGTTGGAAACATGACCTTTTTGAAGATAATTCTAATCGATCTCGAGGAGTTGGACAACGAGTTACGACTGGTGTGAATACTACGACGAAATTACTTATATCGAATCTTGATTATAGTGTAACTACAAGTGATGTTCAAGTAATTTAGATTTGTTTTTTTGTGTATCAATTTAATGTACATTGATATGTTGTATTCAAGGAATTATTTGAAGATATTGGTGCTGTCCGTGTAGCACGCGTACATTATGATGAAAGTGGCCGATCATTAGGCACAGCTGAAGTTATCTTTGAACGTCGTGTTGATGCTGCTAATGCTCAACAAAAATATAATGGCCTTAATCTTGATGGTAAATAATTAAAAAAAAATTTTATTTTTAATAAACTTAGTTTTTTATAATTAGGTCGTCCAATGGATATAAGATTAATAGGTGCCGTCAATGATGGTTCACAACAACAACAACAAACACCTCGTGCATCATATACAAATGGAAATAGCAATGGAAATCAAAGATCAGGTTTTCGTAACAATAATAATCAACAAAATGGAACCCGTAATGGAGGTAATTTTTCACGTGGTGGTGGTGGTAAACAACAACAAAATGGCACTCGTAATAATACGAAAAAAGAAAATGTTACTGCTGAAGATCTTGATGCTGAACTTGAAGCTTATCGTGCCGAAAGTGCACCGAAGAAATGATAACATTAAATTAATTTTCGTTGTTTTTCTTTCTTATTATAAGAAAACTCAATTATGCTTTTTGTCTACTTTTTGTTTTTCTTCTAACGTATGAATATATTCCTACAACAAAACCATTAAATTTACACACAAACAAACAAACATCATGACTTTCTGTTGTTGTTTTTTCCTATTTCTTCTTGTGTTCTTTATGTATGTCTTTGTTTCGATATATAAATATACTTGTGTGTGTAATATGTGCTCTTGTATAAATACTGTGTTAGAAAAAAACCGGTTGTTTATTCTAAACAGAAGAACAAAGAAAAAAAAATATATATATAATATCAATCGGTTATATTGTGAAATAACAAAATGATTCATCATTAAGATAAGCAGTATAAATACAAGCCGACTCGTAGTTTTCGTTTTAAGCTCTAACTGTAGTTATAATTCCTGTGATATTATTGAGATATACCGTTTGTGTATACAAATCTTCTTCTTCTTCTTCCTATATTCGTTTTTTTTCCAACATACGTATCAGACGCCCTCTGCTGAATCATCACAATATCTATTCTATTGGTAAAATCTTGAACATATCAGGTAAAACAATGACAATTAAGCGATCGACTAGAACATTAAGTGCATAAAACGAACGTACCTAAGTTGATGATATAAGCAAAGCAACTAATTTCTTCTCTTTTTTTCTATCTAGAAATTTATAGATATATTTTTGATCTATTTGAATCAAAATTATTCATATGATTGACGGTATGCTTTATTCTTCCATTCTATAAAACTAAAATTTTCTCATTTTTCTAGCTAAACTTATTCAACGTTACTTTCAACAGTTGACACGAGGTTGTGGTATGTTAAATTAAACATATTTCTTTTTGCATAACTACATTTTTTAATATTTAAGGTAATAATCAATGTTTGAATGTTTATTGTTCATCAAATGCTTCATTCAAATATGATCGAAAATTATTTGAAGATCCAAATAATGTTGCTGCTGAAGCAATAACATTAACACATGAATATGGTTCAGCTTATTTAGATGAATATATGAATGCAAATTTATTTATAATAGAAGATAATCTTATACAAATAATTAATAAATCTAAAGAACAAAATAACTGGAGATTACTTCAAAATTTAATTTATTCAGTATTTTCTAATCGACAAAATTTATCATCAAGTTTTTTACGAAAAGGTTTTCCTTTAAATCTATCATTAAACACTGATTCTTCTTCTTCTTTAACAACAAATGCAGCAACACCAAAAAGTAATACCAAAAAAATTTGAAAATATATATTCTTTCTATTTTGTTTTTTCAAAGGTAATTTTGTACATGATCCACGTATAACAATTGAAAATGATGAGATAACATTAGATTTTGATATAATGAAACGTGTAATAAAAATCTTAATGTCATATGAAGATGAAATATCATCAACATTTAATAATGCATTAGGAGTTTTATTTAAACAAATTTATAATGAATTAACATCATCGAAAAAACAAGAACTTGAAAATGATGCGAATTTTCTAAATATATTCTTTATTATATTTCAATTACCATATCTTTCCGATCCAGTATTTATTTTTGAAATTGCATATTCATTCTATACACTTTTTACGAAATTATCTACTGATATACAAGCGAAATTTGTACGAATATTAGCTAAACATAAAAATGATTTAAGTGCTTATGTTGCACATGTACAACAATATATTACCATATATACAGTGAAATGGTGTGATCGTACACAAATGAATAGTACAACTGAAGCATTACTGTCAAGTGAACATGGTAAATAAGTCAAGTATTTGATGTATTAAAGTTTATTTATTCTTTTTTCTAGGTATGTACGAAGGACTCAATGTATTGCGTATGCTTTTTTATGCAAATCTTCTTGGTGGTGAACGTGATACTGTAGAAATAATTGAAATTGAACGTGATAATGAACAAAAAATGGAAGTTGAATTAGTGAATCGTCGTCAGAGACAGAATGATGATGATGATGGTAATAATGAAGAACAAGAACAAAGTGAACAACAACAACAACTACCACAAACAGAACAACAAGATGAAAATAGATCGGCGGCGGCGGCGGCGACAACTGCAACTATTTCTCCAACAGGTAATCGTTCATCAAGTTTTACAATGCGTACATCGACGACTGAACAAGATGAAATTGAATCAATGTATGAAAATCCTTTACAAATTAAACTTAATATTGAACCTAATGAATATCGTCATGGTTTTTTACATTTTGATGATTTTATTAATGAATTTGCTAATGAAAAAATCGAAATTAATAAAGAATATCTTGATTTTGTTCGACAAAGACCAGAGACTCTACATTTTTCATTTATTTTATATCCATTTTTTCTATCAACAATTAACAAAATTGGTAATTTAATATTTTTTCTTAAGAAAAATACATTACTTATTTTTATTTTTAGCACTTCTTAATATTGAAAATAAAGTGCAAATGTATCGTCAACGGCATACAACATTTGTTCATAGTATATTTAGTGGTATTCGTCTTGATCCATTTTTTAAAATATGTGTTCGACGTAACCATATTATTGAAGATGCTTTAATCACTGTATGTTATAATCACTGATTGTTCTTCAAGCAAGTTTTTTTTCTATAGAAGACAATTTATTTTGTCTAGCTCGAATATCACGGTATCGAACAACCAGCTGAACTGAAAAAACAACTATTTGTCGAATTCGAAGGTGAACAAGGACATGATGAAGGTAATACAAAAACAAAAAAAGAATTATTCTTTCAAATAAAAATTCATATATATATATTTAAGGTGGTTTATCTAAAGAATTCTTTCAACTTATTACAGAACAAATTTTTAATCCTGAATATGGTATGTTTATGGCCGATGATGAAACACGATCTCTATGGTTTAATCCTTCGGCACCTGAAGATCTCGATCGCGAATATATATTAATTGGCATGTTATTAGGTCTAGCTATATATAATTCAGTTATTCTTGATATTAAATTTCCACCTATTCTATATCGTAAATTAATGGGTAAAATTGGTACTTTTGAAGATCTTGAAACATCACATCCGGTAATAGTATCTCTCTAATAATATATATTTTGTTTTTATATAGATTTTCTTTAGACTATATATAAAAGTTTAAAAAATCTTCTATCATTTAATGAACTACAAGAAGATATCACAGTTGAAGATGCATTTGGTTTAACATTTCAAATAGGTATTACAGACGCAATGGGTTCACGTGTTACATTTGATTTAAAAGAAAATGGAGAAACTATTCCAGTGACAAATTCTAATCGAGAGGTTATTAAATAAAACCTTTTTATTAGGAGTTTTATTCATCAAATTTTCTTTTAATTTCTAGGAATTTGTACGTCTTTACAGTGATCTTGTATTAAATAAAAGTGTTGAAAGACAATTTCATCCATTTTTTCATGGATTTCTATTAGTCACACGTGATAGTTCATTACGAAAACTTTTTCGACCTGATGAAATTGATTTACTTGTGGCTGGTAGTCATGTACTAGATTTTAATCAACTTGCTTCAGCTGCTGAATATGATGGTGGTTATACAAAAGATAGTCCAACGATTCAGTAAGATACTTACTTTTTTCTTAAGCAAACAGAACAGAGGATTTCTTATTTAGAAATTTTTGGAATGTCTTAATGAGTTTTACTGATGAACAACAACGAAAATTTCTTCGATTTACAACGGGTAGTGATCGTGCACCGTGAGTGTCATTTATATTTTACTGTAGCAATATAAAAACGTTCTTTTTTTTGATTTAGTATTGGTGGTTTGGCAAGATTAAAATTAATCATATCTCGAAATGGTCCTGATACTGATCGTTTACCAACGGCACATACATGTTTTAATGCATTTCTTCTTCCTGATTATTCATCTATGAATAAATTACGTGAAAAACTTTTAATTGCAATTAATAATGCTGAAGGATTTGGTCTACTTTAAATATATTAAGAAAAAGATAATAAAATGAACATTTTTTTTTGTTACTAGTCGATCTTTTTTGTTATTTCATATTCATCTTTTTTTCCCTATGTGCTATTCTTGATTTCATGCTCATATATTTCATCATATTTACGTTTATGTGTGCGTGTGTATATAGAGATTATTCTTGAGATATCTTCACATTCACTGTGATATAACTCTTCTCTTTTTCTTTCATATAACTCAGAGTATGTGCGTGTGTATGAAACGAAATTTAAACTTTATTATGTCTAATGCTAATGAGAAACATGCTGGATGTATATGATAAATAATATTTAAGTTAGGCGACAAATCTACTTGCTAGTAGTAGATTAATATAGAGTTATTGTATATCTCATTAAATACGAAAAATACGTATTTCAACTTTTGATTTAATAATAATCGAAAATTATTGGACTCCTTATAACAGATATTCAACAACAGTGTCAATTTAAAATTTGTATAATCTTCAATTTCAAAAATGTGATTGGATAATCAATACTATGCGAAGCAAAGCATTTATGTAGTTCTTCACGAGTTTTCTTCCTTTTCCGACGTACACATTTAAAGTTGTCATTTCTTGCCGCGATATATTGTAGCAAATGATATATGAGGCAGTTCTCTTTTACCAGTTATTTTTTCATTCGTTTGTAGTAATGGAACCACCGGGGAAACTGAGCATCCCTTAAGAAATTCGAACTTTATTTGAGCTGTGAAACCTTCGTCTTTAAAGAGTTTCAACCCGTATTCTGAATATTGAAATGAAGGGCAGTGCTAGTAGTGGAAAGTGGGTGTAGGTGAATAGGTGTAGGTGTAGAAATGTTTAGAAGAACATGCGCCCTCAACATGAAATGCGCTTTTCAAATCATCAATTAAATTCTATGTAAAGTATGGTGCTAAAACATTCAGGGCGATAAATGTTGATTTCGTTCGAGCGCACGGTAAAGAAGTTCCTGTTATAGAGGACGAGAATATTCTTTTACAAACATTCACTGTGCATTGTTGAGATAAATATGTGTGACTATGCTTTACATCATGATAAACCAGAACAGCTTCAGCAATATAAACTTCATCTTTTTCTTTTGATAGTTTCATTGTTTTGTAACTAATTGTTTTGATGCCTTTGAGTTTTTATATGATGGTCAATATCAGCTTTTCCTCAATAATGTACTGAAAGTTGCTGATTACAAATAATGCATGTGGCCTGAGTTACATCAGGTTCTGTATTCTTTCAAAAATAATTCATATTCGATGATCTTTATTCATTCTCTATTAAATATTCCTTTTTTTCAATTTATCGCCAGATGATATTTGTAACTCGACTGTCACTGATGCTTCACTATCTCCATCTTAATCAATATGGCTATCGCTAGCATCAATCATTTATTTCTGCTACGTATAAATATTACAACTGACTAAATTCTTAACTAACAATGTACAATAGATAGAAGATTGTGTACAATGAATTTAAAGATTTGAATGATTGGTAGAAAATACTTCAAAAACGAAAAAATATAGGTAAAGAACGGTCTTAGCAAGTGGCATTTATATTGGCCATTTTTATTCACTATTGGAAATCCGAGATCGCCATCTTATTAATTTCCATTATACATCACTAAGAATTCATCGGATATATATGCGATAATGATTTATTAGAACTGAAATTGAGTTAAAAATGAAAGGCAGATAATATTTTGAAAAGCAGGAAAAAAATTGCAAAAGCAGAAGCGACAGAAAAAAAGCAGAAAAGGTGGCGGCCTTGGCCGCAAAGATTTATTAAAATTCTTAATATAGAGTGAAGATAAATGTTAGTTTAAATCGTGCAATGTTTTATAAGAATAATGTAACTAGTAGTCTAGGAAAGTGTTAATGAATAGTTAAAGATTATTTGTCGATAAGCCTTAACAATGTAAGAGAACACTGACGGTGTCATCGTAATAGTTTGCAACAACAATATCGGGTTTATTGTCGCTATTCACATCGACGACTGCTACTGCTTTAGGGTAATTACCAACTGGGTAAGTAGTTTGAGCATTGAAGGTGCCGCTGCCTGTGTTGAGAAGAACACCGACGGTGTTTGAACCATAGTTTGCAACAACAATATCGGGTTTATTGTCGCTATTCACATCAACGACTGCTACTGAACATGGAGTGCTACCAACTGCGTAAGTAGTTTGAGTATTAAAGGTGCCGCTGCCTGTGTTGAGAAGAACACCGACGGTGCTCACACCAGAGTTTGCCACAATAATATCGGATTTATTGTCGCTATTCACATCGACGACTGCTACTGAGTATAAAGTACTACTAACTGAGTAAGCAGTTTGAGTACTAAAGGTGCCACTGCCTGCGTTGAGAAGAAGGCCGACGGTGTTCGCATTATAGTTTGCGACAATAATATCGGGTTTATTGTCGCTATTCACATCGGCGACTGCTACTGCTTGAGGGTAGCTACCAACTGAGTAAGTAGTTTGCGCATTAAAGGTGCCACTGCCTGCGTTGAGAAGAACACTGACGGTGTTATCAGCCTGATTTACAACAATAATATCGGGTTTATTGTCGCTATTCACATTGACGACTGCTACTGAACATGGGCTACTGCCAACTGGGTAAGTAGTTTGAGCGTTAAAGGTGCCGTTGCCTGCGTTGAGAAGAACACCGACGGTGTTTGTACCATAGTTTGCAACAATAATATCGGGTTTATTGTCGCTATTCACATCGACGACTGCTACTGAACATGGAGTGCTACCAACTGCGTAAGTAGTTTGAGCATTAAAGGTGCCGTTGCCTGCGTTGAGAAGAACACCGACGGTGTTTGAACCATAGTTTGCAACAACAATATCGGATTTATTGTCGCTATTCACATCGGCGACTGCTACTGACCGTGGCTCACTACCAACTGCGTAAGTAGTTTGATAAAGAAACGTAATGCAGCCTATTAAATACAAAAGGTTTGTTCTCACATCTGTACTAGTATATAGACAATATTCGATCGTCGTATTTTATTCAATCTTTCAGAGTTTAACTTAATTGAACGTAATTTATTCGAAAAGATTATGTCAGTAGATTTTGGACAATTTCAGATATTCTAGTGCACAACTAAAGTCGATTTTTGGCGATTCTGTCCATCCCTGCGTGAAATCGTCTTGTAAATTTGAAAAATTCATGAACTCATCTAACTCTACTTATAATTTGCACTCCCTTTAATAAAGTTTCATGATATCCTCGACTAAGAGGACGCATAATACTATTCAAGCAGAATTCAGAATGCCGTACATTTGTTCAGAATCTCATTTCAACAAATATATCATTCCTGTTTTTAAATTGCATTACAATATGGAATTCTATAAATAATATGATAATTCTGTTTCTCATAAATCAACTATATGTCTACAAAATTCTAAATTCTACTTTCCGAGTATTTTACAGTTATCTGTGCACTTACACTCTATTCTCGTTCTCGTCGAGAACAGCTCAGCATAAATAAGTTATCTATTTGCATTATTGCTGGTCCGTTTTTCAATGTTTGGCATAGGTATACACAGAGTTAATAGAGGAATTACATTAGAATCTGCTAGTGTTGTACCATTAAACTAAACTAACCATTATACGTTTTATTTATTGTAAGCTGTGTTCTCCAATACTTAATCTTCAAACGGATGTACTTTTCAGATTCAATTACTGTTCGCTCGTGACTTTATACATGCAAAACAAACTCCACCAATGTTGATTATGGAAGAGTATAAGTCACAATCAATAAACCTTCTAGTTCTTAGCCTGGTTTATTAGCACAGCATTTAATAGACTCCATGCAACCCCCGACTGATTGATTGAAAACCATTCCGAGAGAGAAAATGAAGGACGCAGGTAGATAAGACTAAATACGGGCCGGCGAGGAGTAATCTAAGAAAAGGCAATAACAGCAAGGTTTAGTTGGTGCTGGCAAAATCCCTGTTATGCTGTTATACTCTAGCGCTATTTTACTATTGAAAGTCTTTTCTAAAAAAGTAATCGTCAGTGACACGCCCAAATCAACGTCAATTTTTCTTAACATCGGCTCTCACAGCGAAAGTCTGTACCAACAACACAATGACCATAGTTTGTTATGTCTAGATATGATGCTCCTATGAGCAACAACTGATCTAATCTCCAGACGAATATTATTTGTTCATCGAAGTGATAAACATTTGAACGGTAAAATCTCAAACGTTTTTGGTTAGTGGAACTAAGTATCGGTTTGGCAGCTACAAAAAGGTACAACACATTATCTAGCACATTACTGACCGACTGTAGTTGCTGCTGGTGTTGTTGATGTCATTGTTGATGTTGTGGATGATGAAGTGGTTGATTTTGTTGTTGACGATGTTGATGATGAAGTGGTTGTTGATGTTGATGATGATGACGGCGAAGTTGTTGTTGATGTGGATGATGATGTTGTTGTTGATGTGGATGATGTTGGTGACGATGTTGTTGTGGATGATGATGTTGTTGTTGATGTTGATGATGATGTTGATGTGGATGATGAGGT